CTCATCAACAAAACAGTTATCCAGATGACAATAAGTTAGTTTTGATAAACTCCATATATGATTAAACAAACGTTGTGCATCATTCCCACTCATTGATACATGGCTATCAGTTAAAGTAAGATGGATGAGACAAGGAAGATAAGAACATTCAACCATTATTTGATCGAGTGTTTGTTGAGATCTAAGACATGATAATGATATTGATTTTAAACGAATAAATTGACGAAGTTGATAACCATGAGATAGAAAATATTCAATTTCTTGTGGAGTATTATCATCATTAGAAAGATGAAGAGAAATAATTCGATCGATGACTGATAGAATATTATTTTGACATACTTGATGGAAATTTGTTTTTGATATTAGTCGGAAATCAAGATGAAATTTTTCAAATTGTTGACAAAGTAATTTGTTAAAACGTGAGTTGAGAGCAAAGAAACTTTGATAAAGATGAATAAGAGAGAGATATTCGAATAAATCCAGAATTATTTCATTGGGTAAGAATTCGAAATTCATTTTATTCGAAATATATGTTGAACGTCATATGAATGAATTCGTTAATGCTTTTATATTCATTGTACATAGATAAGCGAGATAAAAAAAAAGAATGACATTGTTATTACTATTATTGCTACTCTTTCACATCAATATTTGTTTTGACATCACTTTTTCTTCTCTTATCATATGCAATTACGACTGACAAACGAAAGAACAATCATTCTTTGATCCTTTATTTTTGTTCTCATAAACTTTACTTTTTTCGTAACAACAATGAGTCATAAAACTGTTATTGTGATAATAATAGACAATTAGTATTTTATATGAATTTTAATAAACATTCTAAATTTGAGGGTAGAATTAAAATTTGAAACTCTTCAAAGGGTCATTATTGAAGAAAAAGAAATAATGCACAATATTTGGGTGTGGGTGTGGATGTGTGGGTGTGGGTGTGTGGGTGTGGGTGTGGGGTGTGGGTGCCGGTGTGGGTGTGGGTGGAAAGACAGTCTACACCCACACCCACACCCACACCCGCACCCACACCCACTCACACCCCACACCCACACCCACACCCGCACTCACACCCCACACCCGCACCCACACCCCACGCCCACACCCACATCCCACACCCACACCCATACCCACACCCGCACGCACACCCACCCACACCCACACCCACTCACATCCACACACCCACACCCACCCCACAATATTGTGATCACTTATTCTTACGATTTTTCATCGTAAATTTTGATTTAGACAAGACAAATCGATCATATTATTAACTGAACACAGGTCTCTCAGTGTAATCAGCTTAACAGAAGCTTTTTGATGCTGATGTCCGCCCATATGATGATTTCCAACTTTCATGACTGCTCCATCCGCCTCTCCCGCTTCCACATTTATTATTAATCAAATTTTGCTCTTGAATGAAAAAATTAGCATCCATATGTTGCCCATTACCATAATTACAGCCAAATGCAACAGCCGATCCATAATAACTTGAGACGCTCTTTGCATAGAATGCATTGCCAGTACCAAAGAAACTAGCTAAACCACTAATTGCTTTATTCATGTCGTCCGTCGAAAAAAAGACGTTTTGTTCACAATGAACACCTGAGTCTTTACGCTGCGAAGGTCCACTTAGTACAGTCGTAGTGAAATTGGCTGGTCCTAAATATTCTATAATAGGGTCATTACTTGTGCTCGATGTCATATGAAACATGTAAATTCCATCAGCACCTCCAACAGGCTTTTTGTATGATGAAGCTGTTGAAATAAGAAAGAAAATTGATGGCAAAATAAATTTACCTGAAATCATAGTTGTAATATATTTTACTGAGACAAATATGGCAAAATACGAGAACCAGAGAATGCATAATGCTTTTATACAAAATCTACGACAAATAATCCAACATATTTAGCTTGATTCAAATAAATACTTCAGTTGTCTCTTATCTCAAGTAGATGCGCTTAACTTTTCTGCTGTAAAATATAAGTGAACTATATTATCGTTTATGATATGCTTGAAAGATTAATAGATCGTTGACTAAAGCTAACAACAAAGTATGACAGACTCAATCGATTAATCTTTCTTTCACTAGCGATTTTAACCGGTAGTCCTTTAGCGTTAATATAGGATAATAGGTTGTATCAACCGTAAAAATTCTTTTTTTTTAGATCATCTATATATTCTTCTAATCTAAGATCTCTTCTAACGATAATAAAAACGATGAATTCTCTTTTAACATCATATCAACACTATGCCAGAGTGTTTCTCATTATAGTGAAAAAGAAGGATTACAAAGGACCCTGTCAGATTTGGCGAGCTTCCTTGAATTGAGAAGCTAGATATATGATTTTGAGAACCACTTGCGGGAAGTCGAATGGTATATAGGATATTGCATTTTCATTCAGTTTTGGCCTTATGAGCGTCCAGATACCGGCTCGCTGATATTGAATAAAATTATAGCACTGGTTTAGGTAGCGACCCCAGCATATCCACAAATCAACTAATGTGAAGTTGTCTCTAAATGTCATTTCTATAGATGTTTAATTGCTCTTTAATCTCTTGTATTTGCATAGATGTAAAACTTGAAACTTGAGTTCAATTGAAATTTCAAGTTTCAATTTTCGACCTTCAAGCTTCAACTTTTAACTTTCAAGAGTATGGGTGTGTGGGATGTGGGTGTGGAGAATACATCCTACTCCGTGATGTTGAACATTGCGGAATCAGTTCCGCCTCCGGAATCAATTCCATCAGTTTCGGAATTCCGGTAATTCAGTGCAGTCGCAATTCCTAGCAATTCCGTTCAATTCCGAAATTACAATATCTCAGATAAACTTTTAGCTATCAATCCTCTTGAGGGTGTGGGATGTGGGTGTGGGTGTCGGTGTGAGTGTGGGTGTGGGTGTGAGTGTCGGTGTGAGTGTGGGTGTGGGTGGGTGTGGGTGTGGGTGTGGATGTGTGAATGTGGGCGTATGTGTTGTATGAAAGTAAGATGCATAACTACACCCACACCTACACTCACACCCTCACCCACACCCATACCCACACCCATACCCACACCCACACCCTCACTCATACCCTGACACTCACCCACAGCCACAGCCACAGCCACACACCCACAGCCACAGCCACACACGCACACCCACAGCCACACCCACACCCTCAAGTTTTTTTTGAAGCAGCAAAAAATAATTCAATTTAATAAAAACAATTAAAGTCAGCAAAAAATTCTCAGTTCAACTAATATAAAGTGTACATATATCATCAGCAGTCAGTTCTCGACTATAAATTCTGAATTCATCAATATCACCATTATATGGACTCATTGATCCAAGAAGACCTGCATCACAAATACCAACACCACTGAGACTATTTGCTAATGTAACATAATTTTGTACTGAACTAGCAACATATGAAGTGGCCATTGCAGTAGTGGAAGCAACCAAAATATTATTAACATAAAGACGAAGACCATTTGTTGGACTCCATGTTTCAACAATGTGTGTCCAATCCGATGCCACAGGTACAGATGGACCAATCACGGATTTAACAATACTACTGTACATTTGAGCAACAATCGAACCATTAGCAGTAAATCCTAAGAAAGGATAGCACCATCCAAGACCTGATGAATTTGCTGAAACATGAACAATAGTTCCCGATAAAGATCGAGGTCGTATCCAAAGTGAGATTGAAAATGGACGATTTGTAATACCTAGACTAGTTACACCTGATATTTGAAAATATGAAGATGTTGAACCACTGAATGAGATAGCTTCAAGAGCATGACCAGTAGATACGAATGAAACAGATGATCCAATAGCTGATAGAGAATTAGGTCCTGAATCGTTAAATGAAATGCCTGAATTAAAAGTAAAATAAGCTGATAATATTGCTTCTTCGAGAACTTCACATGATGATTTAGCCCTCTCTGCAATGGTCACTTGATCAATTATTCCCTATAAACATAAAAAAAACAAGTTCGTTTTCGATAACATTATTGTTCAATTAAATATTTCTAGAATTTGTTTTAATTAAAAATCAAAATATTCTGATTATTTTGCTTTTTATTAGGCTATGAGAAGAACAATCATATCTTACTTGAAAGTAGTTTGGACCATATGCAGCATCAAGTACTGGTATGCTACCAATTGTTATAATGTCTGGAGCAGCTTGGAATGATCCTCCTGACACTCTACTACAATCCAATTTTCCATTCATATATATACTTTGACTTGATGAATTTAATTCATAGACAAAAGCAACGTGTATCCATTCATTTAAAGATACAAATGTATTTCCTTGACAATCATCATCAAAGAAACCAAAATAAAGATAAAAGTTACCACCATCTTCATGAATAGATAGATAAAGGCATTCACCAATGGAAGGTTTAGTACATAGACCGACTATACTATGATCTTTTGAATTTGGAAAACTAGTAGGATAAATCCAAGCATCAATCGTAAAACTCATGCTTGTCAGACTCATAGATGGACCTCTTAATGATTGAATAGGACTTGTGTCAAATAAGAGTGCTTCATTCACATAACCGGTTACAAATGTAGGACTTTGTGCTGGAGATGTGATAGTATTGCTGACATCTTCAATTAGATTATTATCAAATTTCCATTCAGCACGCAAGTTAGTAGAAGAAATCCATGACTGATTGAGACATGAAAAACCACAAACATAATTGGTTGTTGTTGTAGCTAATAAATAAAAGACAATAATAATTTTACTAATTTTCAATTATTAAAATTTGTTTGAGATTACTATCATTATTTAAATGTTTATTTTATAAGAGTAATGTTTTCAATTAGTTCTCGGAAAACCTTTATATATACTTCAGAGAATGTTGAAAAGAAATTTATAAGCTGTAAACTGTAAGTTTATAGATTTTCGATTCTTTCACTAAAAGTGAAGTCTTACTTGTTGTTGTAGTTGTCGTTATTTCTGTTGTCGATGTAACTGTCGTTGCCACTGTTGTCGTCGTTTGTGTCGTCGTAGAAGAAGACGTTGTTACTGATGACGTTGTCGTGGATGAACCTATTAAAACAATAAAAGACAATTACAGTAGTTCTATATCGATAAATCAACACCAGATCATATACCTATTGTCGAAGTATCTACAAGAAAAAAATCTTTACACAAAAAGAATTTATTTTAATCTGAACATACTTGTTAATAATGTAGAAATACTTATTGTTGCTAAAAAAAAATTAATATTTATTTTAATATAAAATAGTAAATAAATATAAAATAACTTGTTATTGTTGTTTGTGATTTTGGTAAAAATTGAAGTAATAAAACAGCAAGAAGTATTCCAAGAAAAAGACCAATTAAAAGACAAAGTAAACAACAAAGTCGACATGGACATGAAAAACAATAAAAATATCTAAAAAGAAAATGAATATTCAAATTGAAATTCTAAACTAATATTTACTTTCGTTTTTTTCTTTTTTTTCTATCTTCTACTATTTCATGATATTCACCTAGAGATCTTTTTCCACTTGAATATTCATTTAATGTCTAAATTTGTTTAATAAACAATAAATAGATAAATCATAGTAAAAAAAACTGTTACTTTAGTTGTACTAGATCTATTAAATTGAATTGAACCACGAGAGATACTATCCTATAATATTCAAAAAACAAATAATAATCATATTAAATAAATTAAATCTATAATATAATAACATTGAATGGAATGACTTTTGATGATGATTTTGATAAACGTTTTGTTCGTTTTTTTGATTTTCTATTGTGATCAATGTTGAATTGTGTTGAACTTTTTATTTGTCTTTGATCAAAATGTGACTGATTAATAATAAAATAAATATTTTTAAAAAAATGATATTTATATTTCTCACTTGAGATAATGATGAATGTTGTGATTTAATATGAGCAGATTGTGTTTTATTATTTGACCATTCATTTATACTTTGATTAAAACTTAATTTTGAATTTTGACGATGATGAGATGAATTCACAAGATCATTAATCTATTTGTAAAGAAAGAAAGAAAATGAATAAAATCGAGAAATTATAAAACTAACTGAAGGAAATTTATCAATATTATTGACATTGTTATTTTTATTTCCAGTAAGAGAGTTATTCTGTGATCGAATTTTTGTATGAATGATAATCATTGATTTTGCACTATTTGTTTTTTTTCGATGAATACGTTTCTCAATTGATTGTTGACGAGAAACTCTAGGAAGACTTGATTGTCTATATTGTCTTGGTGTTACTGCAGAATGAGCAGATGAAAGTAGTCGTTGATCATTTTTATCTATCATTGTTTTGAATATTTTGTTTTTTTGATGTTATTTAAGACAACTATATCTTCCTATTGATTTGATTGAGAAATGATTGTATGATTTTGAATTTTTATTGCAGAATAAAAAGAATGAATGAATACCTAGTTGAGTATTGTATTAATTTATTTTATTATTATTCAATATGTTTGTTAAAGGTTTCTTTTTCTATACCTATATAAATAATTAACATATGTGATGGTATTGTTTGTAGAAAAAAAAA